TGCCCAGCGACGCGACACTCGCGGCAGCGCCCGTCGGGCCGGCGCGCGCAGGGGCGCTGGCGCCCCCAATCGCGCCGCTCACCGACGCGCCGCCGGCGCCCGCCGAGGCGGTCGGCGACGCGCTGCCCCAATCGAAACGCAAGCGCCCGTCACGCAGCTCAGCGACGCGGCGCCCGAGATAGCGCTCGCCCCGCCGGCAAACGTCGGGGCCGAGCTGGAGCTCGCCGACGCGCTGCTCGACGGCGCGCTGCCAGCGCCCGTCGCGGCGGTCAGCGGCGCATCGCTCAAGGCAAGGGGCAACGACGCGGCGCTCGACGCAGCACCCGCCCCCCTCGCAAACGCCGGGGTCGCGACACTGGCCCCCGCCGCGCAGCTCGACGACGCGCAGACGGCAAACGTCGCGGCGGCCAGCGACAAGGCGCTCGAGGCAGTTGTCGCCCCACCCATGGGCGTTAGGGGGTGGGGCCGCGCCCGCCGACGCGCAGCTCGACGTTGAGATGCCCATGACCGTCGCGCGGATCCGCCGCGCAATGATCGGGGCGGCGTTCGCCCCGCTCGCGGTCGCCAGGGTCGAGCTGCTGCTCTTGGGCGCGGCGATCCACGATGACGCGCTGGCGCCCGTCGCGGCGGTCAGCTGCGAGGCGCCCGAGACAGCGCTCGCCCCGCGCGCGGGCGCCGGGGTCGAGCAGCCACTCACCGAGGCGCTGTTCCAGGTTGCGCCGCTGGCCCACGACGCGGAACTCGCGGCCGCATCCGTCGCGCCCGTGGACGCCCCGGGCCGCCGCTCTCCAGCACGATGCTCGAAGTTGAGATGCCATTGGCCGTGCAGCTACTCGGCAACGTGGCACTCGAGACAAGACTCGCCCCGCTCGTGGACGCAGGGCCAAAGCTGGCGCTCTCCAGCGCGCTGCTCAACGCTGCGCCACAAGCGCCGGTCGCGGTGCTCGACGACGCGACACTTGAAACAATAATCGCGGCGCGCGCGGGCGTCGGGGCCAAGCCGCTGCTCTCCGACGCGCACCTCAACGTTGCGCTGCCGGCAGGCCGCGGTGCTCAGCGACGGCCCTCGGGGCTGCACTCGCCCCCCGCGTGAGCGTCGGCGTCGAGCTGCCACTCTCCGACGCGCTGCTCAACGCAGGGGCGCCAGCGCCCGCCGGGCTGCTCAGCGACGCGGCGCCCGAAGCAGCGCTCACCCCACTGACGCGCGCCAGCGTCGAGCTGGCGCTCTCCGACGCGCGACTCAGCGGCGCGCCTCCGCCCGAGGTCGTCGCGCTGCCGAGCGACGCGGCACTCGAGGTAGCTGCGGTTCCACTCGCGAACGTCAGAGTCGAGTCGACGTTCTCCAACAGGGCACCCAGCGCCGTGATGCCACCTCACGTCGCGGCGGCCCACGACGCGGCACTCGGGGCAGCACCTGCCCGCCCCGGCACGCAGGGGTCGCGGCGCCGCTCGCAGGCGCGAGCCTCGCGGATGCGAAGTCTGGGCCCGACACGGCGATCAGCGACGCAGCGCTCGAAGTAGTCGCCACCCCACTCGCGGGCGCCGGCGTCGAAACCATGCTCTCCGACGCGCTGCTCAAGATCGAGGTGCCAGCACCAGTCGCGCTGCACGGCGACGCGGCACCCCCGGCCGCACACGCCCCGCTCGCCGACGCGAATCCGCGCGACTGCCACACGCGCGCGGGGGGGATTCGCGCGCCACGCGAGACACACTGATGACGCAGCGCACCCAAAAAGGCCCACCCCGCCCGCGAACGAGGACAGCGCTCGCCCCTCTCCGGGGCGTCTGGACCCAGCCACTGCTTTCCGACGTGCTTCTCCGCATCGAGGTGCCAATTCGTGACGCGCTGTTCTGCGACGTGGCGCGCGGCGCAGTCGCCGTCTCAAGCAGCGACGTCAGCGCAGAGCTGACGTTCCCGCCCAACGCTGCTCAGAGGCGAGCAGATGGCGCCGCCAGCAGACGTCGGGGCATACCAATGCTTTCGGTCGCGCTGCTGCTCGAGGTCGAGATGCCAGCACCCGTCGCGTTGCTCGGCGACGCGGCACCCAAGACAGCGCTCGCCCCACTCGACGGCGTCGGGGCCGAAGCGCTGCTCAATGTCGAGGTGCTAGTACACGTCACAGTGGTCAACGACGCAGTACTGAGGGCAGCAATCGCCCCCCCTCGTGGACGTCGTGGTCGAGACACTGCTCCCCGAAGAGCAGCTCAACGACGCGCTGCCGGCCCCTGTCGCGGCGGTCAGCGACATGGCGCCCGAGACAGAACTCGCCCCACGCACGGACGTCCAGGTCGACCCGGTGCTCGCCCGACGTGCTGCTCAACATTAAATTGTCACCACCCGTCGCGTTACTCATGCTCGCCGTGGCAGCCAACGGCGCGGCTCTCGAGGCAGCGCTCGTCTCTCCCGTGACCGTCGAGGTCAAACTGCCGCTCTCCGACGCGCTGCTGGGCCGTCGAAGCGCCAGCGCCCGTCGCGCCGCTCAGCGACGTGGCCGCCGAAGGCGCGCCCGCCCCGCACGCGGGCGCCAGGGTCGGGCCGCTGCTCCCCAGCACGCTCGTCAACGATGCGCTGCCAGCACCCGTCATGGCTCCCAGGTACGTGACGCAGTGCTCGTCTCACGCGCGAACGTTGAGGCAGGCCCGCGGTTCTCCGACGCGCCGCTCATCGTCGAGATGCAAGTGGCCGTCGCGCTGCTGGGCGAAGGCGATGCTAATCCCACCGATGGACGTCAATGCAGAGCTGGTGCTCTCCGAGGCGCTGCTCTGCGGCGCGCCGCTGGCCCTGGTCGCGCAGCCTAGCAACCTGGTGCTCGAGGCAGCGCTCGCCTCGCTGATGGACGTCAGGGTCGGGCTGGCGCCCCCCGAAGTGCTGCTCGGCGTCGGGGCGCCAGAACACGCAGTGCTCGACTCAGCCACTCTGGGAAGTGTCAGGCACCCAGTACCATGCGCGATGCACTCAGACTTGGCGCTTGCATTGCTCGCCAGAACGACGGCCACCAGCTCTGGCGAGCTGGCCGCGACAACGCGGGCGAGGAGGATAAAGCGGATGCCCGTCCAACGGGGTCATTCAAATTACGCACTGGAGTCGCGCTCCACGAATTGCGGTCCAGTGGCTTCAGTCATACGCACTAGAAGAGGCAAGCCATGACCGTCGATCGGCCCACGACGGCAGGGAAAAAAAAACAAGACGATGCCGCATGTCACCCCCAGTGCCATCCCAGAACCCCTGTCGCAGCTGCGCAGAGAGGGGAGCTAAGGCCGAAGGAGAGGCGAGTCCCGTCCGCAGAGGCATCGCCCTCGCTGCACGGGGCGCCGCCGGCACCTTTCCCCGCCGCTCTCGCGGCCAAGGGCCCGCGAGGGGTCGCACCGATGATCTCTTGCGGGGCGCCCTCGGCATCACCTCGGAAATAACGGGGAAGGGTAACCCGACGGGGGCTTGCCGCCGGCGTCGGCGTTTGCGGATATTGTCAAGCGCTCGCGCCGCCGCGAGCTGAGCTTCAAGGAATCTGTGGACCCCGTCGGCGCCGCAGTCGTTGGTGCTCTTGCTGGCCTCGGAGGTTCACACTCAGGCCCTGGCACGGGCCTCCGCGTGAGCGCATCCCGGTGCAGTGTCTCCATCGCGGCCCCCGCCCTCGGCGAGCTTGTGGTCTCTGCTGGCCGCGGCCCTGACGCCGAGGCAGTGCTACCCCTCCCCGACTGGCGCTGGGAGCGAGGGATCTGACTGGAAGAGAACAGGGTGGCAGTGTTGCTGGTGGTCAGCGCACCTCAACGCCTTCATGAATGCACGAAGGAAAGGGAACGGGGGTTGGGTTGGCAGGGTCGGAAAGCGGTTGGGTCGTGGTGGACCTAGCGAGCTGCCGTGCCGGGGGTGTGTCGATAGCCTCGCCTGAGTTCGCGCTGAGCTCCACCCTTGTGGGTGCACCCGAAGGTTTGGCGGTGGGTGTAGCGGTTGGGTCCAAGGTCCTCTGGCGGCGGTTAGCCCTTCCGAAGTAACGGTGGGATAGATGACCACGGAGTTGCAAGGATCCTCAAAAGTTGTTGGCCCTGGTGGGGTGTCGGTAAATGCTGCTGGCGTGCGAAGTCGCATGATCGGCCCTGCGCAGCAGAGGCGCGATTGGGACGTCCAAATATGGCGCATCATTGCTGATGAAAGGGGCGGCACCGTTGCCATGGCGGGCGTCGGCCGGGGCTGGGGCCCCTGCTGAGTCACGATTGGTGTCTGCATTGTGTTTCTGAGCATGGTACAGCATGATGTTATTGATCTTGTTCTCGCACTATTTCATCAGCTCGCCCCAAAGCTCACGCTGGTCGGAGCGGTGCTGTTGGTCTATGTTGTCAAATCGTATTGATATTGTAGGCAAATTCGTTATAAACAGCGATTCCTCGGTTGACGCCACCACTGCTTTGGAGTGTGGCGACGCAGGTGTGCTTTCGGCTGTGTCTGGTATACTGCCGAATCGTTAACGTTGCCTTTGGACGGCCCTGGCCTGGTGGCTTGGGCTGCGGTGGTATATGAACCGCACGGCGACGGCTCTCTGGAACCAGTACGGCGCGCGCGGGCACATGTAGTGGGATGTGACGCCAATCTGTCATGACCAGGGTCGTGTCCAATACCGCGAAGCGGGGAAGGATGCGGGGCGTTTGGCGTCAGGGTTCGCTCTGAACGAAGCTCTCGACCCGAGACTGGAGGGGGGAGGAGGAGGGGGGAGGGGGGGGAGGGAGAGGGAATGGGGAGCCAGGGCAACGCGGCACAGACCCTCGGCGCCGAGGAGGGGCACGGCGAGGGACGAGG